GACATATAATTATTTTTATTTAGAGTCAAATTATTGAAAAAAATCAAAAAAAAATCTGGAGTTTCATCATTTTTTTTATCTCAATATGTATGACTGATTCTCCTGACTGTAATTAGTATCATAATTGCCTAATGTGATGTAATTTGTGAAATTCCGCAGGCATAGGTGAAAAATGCGCGGAAACGATTGTGGAAAAGCATTTTTGTTCAGTCAGCCGTTAAGCTGATTGTCAACGTTATTTGTTTAAATTCATTTGGCTGCTGTTTCAAACTTTTCAAAAAAATTCCAACCGAAACTCACGCTTTTCCGAAAATCCACCCCACTTGCGTGAAAATGCGAGTAAAAGTTTGTTTTCTGCGAAAGTAATGTGCTCACGTCCGCCATGAAATTGTTTGTGCACCTTTATGTCTTTCATTCGGTTGATATATGCGAATTATATACCATTTTTAAGAAGAACCAGAAAGAAAGGCTATCTTCGGCACGCCGAAGATCTGATACCCTTGCAGACCCAACCTTTTCATAATGCTTATAGTGCTTTGCTCGTATCTAAGAAGCACAGGGAAAATTGTTAATGGCGAGTTTGGGATAGATATCTTGATAAACAAAAAAGGTTTTTAAGCAAAAATCTAGCTGCCGACCGATCGTTCCTATGGCAGCTATATGATATAGTAGTCCGATGTAAAAAGGATTTTGCAACAATGAAGGGAGCATAGTGAAATTTTTAAATGCCGTGCTTAATCAAAATATCTTGAATGACAAAAAAGTTTTCCATGCAACAACTTAATTATCGACCGATCGTTCCTATGGCAGCTATATGATATAGTGGTCCGATCTTAATAGGATTTTGCGTGTATATGAGGAGTAAAGTAAAACTAATAAGCGCCAAGTTTGGTCAAGATATCTTAATTAACCAAATATTTTTTCATACAAAGCCTTAATTTTCGACCGATCGTTCCTATGTCAGCTATATGCTATTCTATGCGTTACACATTTCACAATAAAATTATAATACCCTCTGCAAGGGTATAAAAACTGAAAGCGGCATTCGAATTTTTTGTGTGGTTCTTAATTTGTTTATAGTACTTAAGGTATATGCATTAAAATATGCGCTCAAATATCATAGCATACATTTCGGGGCCGCAGCAAGGGCAATATTTATTTAAAACCCAACACAAATAGAAAAAGAAAAACAATTATGAAAAGTATGCTGCGAGTTGGCTTCAACAGAGAGAAAATTTAATTAAGCTACAGCCAACATTGGAGCAGGCGGCGCTCATCAATCAAAATATTTGAAATATTCGACGAGTGAGCTTCGTACTGAAATCAGTTTCAGGGAGCTGCGTTAATTATTTAACTGAATCAGGCTCTGGGTCTGCATGGTATTTGGCATGTCGTTTATCTTAATTTGTATTGATTCAAGTTAATTTTACTCAAAGGCAAATTAAAGAGTCGATGGTCGATTCAAGGCAAAAAATGTCTGAGCTCTTTTTTTTTCGAATATCTTTCATTTTTATACCCTGAACCCATTAAAAATGGGCATAAGGGTATATTGTATTTGTGCGAAATCCAAATGTATGTGACAGGCAGAAGGAAGCATCTCCGTCCCCATAAGGTATATATATTCTTGATCAGCATCAATAGCCGAATCGATTTAGCCATGTCCGTCTGTCCGTCCGTCCGTCCGTCTGTCCGTCCATCCGTCCTTATGTATGATCGCAAGGATCCCAGAATCTATAAGAGTTAAGTGCCTGCGCTGATCGAGTTTGTTTCCGATAATCGATAACTTACTCCGTTTCTAAGCAATCGATAAAAATCGATATCGATATCCCGTTTTTTTGGGCAATTTCGATAAATTATAAGAGCTAGAGTCCCCAAACTTGACATATAGCTTCTAAAATAGAATATATATATGCATTGATGTTGGAAGAAGAGAGTTCAGAGTATCCCCTAGTCGGGGGCTCCCGATCTTATATTTATTTATACCAGAAATTCGTTCAGAATTTTTGCTTACATGCTTTTAATTGTTACGTATTTACTTCTCTTTGATTTGATTACGAAATATATTTCATATTTAATGTTACCAATTTTCTCTTTGAGTTCATGATGCAAAAATATATTTCATATTTATAAAATTAATGCAAAAAAAAAAAATGTTAAGCATTTTGTCTTTGAGCTCATTTGCAAAATGTTAAGTATTTGCTCATTAATTGCATTTCGCAATATATTTAATTTTTATTAAATATTTGCAACAAATATTTTAAGAATTTTTATTTTTTTATTTTTAATTTCATTTACAAGTATATTTGCTTTTTGAAACGGGAATATCAAGCATTTTGTCAATAATTCATTTAATAAAGCCTGAAAAGTCAAATAGGATAAATGAAAAAGTTATGTGCGAATCCGAATCCGAGAATTCTGATGAAATGAATAATACCTGCAAATAATTGCATTGATTGCAAACATGTTTATATTTTTATTTATTTCTTTAGTGCTGTTGTTGTACCCCCCACCCCCCTTCCCCCCACACACATCCACAACAAATGTGAAATTTTTTCAGAAATAGCAAATCATTCATTCGAACCAAAAGTCACCCATGCCCCCGAATTTCACTTGCAGTCAATCGAATCAATTCCACAGAAATATGTAAAGCATACTTTGAGGGTCAGCGAAACTGACACAATTTGAACCCTTTGCCAATCAGATGCATTCCAGTTGAACGACTCCGTTCTTGTTACGGCCAAACTGACTCCGTTGACCCTTTTGCGAGCAGCTGAAATTCAGTTGAAATTCAACTAGTTTAAAGCCATCTCACGTGCAAGTTCTCAGCTCCGTTCTGTTGGTTCAAGCTTCAAATTAAAGATTTTCCACAATTGCGAACCGAAACTGAAACTGGTTTTGTCATGTTTCCAATACACACGTTTTTTTTTTGTTGTTTTCTTACTTGGCTATAAGTACCAGGATTGCGGTCCGGTTCAGTTGCTCAAAATTCGAACCAGTAGCTGAACCGAACCAAAGTATCTACAGGTTCATGAACCGACTCTTAAGGTATAGAACTGGTTCGAACATGCAATGCTTGAGAATCCCATACAAAAACGAACCAATTCTTAAAGCTAAAGTTCCTGATAACAAAAAACAAGAAAGAGGTTCAAGTTGGGAGCTCCCGACTAGGGTATACCCTGAACCCTCTTCTTCCAACATCAAATGCATATATATATTCAATTTCTAGAAGCTATGTGTCAAGTTTGGTGACTAGCTATTATTATTTATCGAAATCGCCCAAAAAAACGGGATATCGATATCGATTTTTATCGATTGCTTGGAATCGGAGTAAGTTATCGATTATCGGAATATCGATCTGCGCAGGCACTTAGCTCTTATAAGTTCTGGGATCCTTGCGTTCATAGATACGGACAGACAGACGGACAGACAGACGGACAGACAGACGGACATGGCTAGATCGACTCGGCTATCGGTGCTGATCAAGAATATATATACTTTATGGAGTCAGAGATGCTTCCTACTGCCTGTTACATACACTTGGATTTTACACAAATACAATATACCCCTATACACAATTTTAATGGGTTCAGGGTATAAGAAGGGGAACTACCTTACCCACTTGTTCATATTTGTGTTCAATTATTATATATATATTCTATATAAGGATCGTAAATGATTCTCTTCAGGCATATTTTTCTTTACTCAGAACAAAACTGCAACAAAAGGAGCCGGATCATATTTTTCTTCTTTTTTTTGGAACACGTAATTCCCATTAAATTTTAGCCAATAATGAAGTACCATTTGTAACCCTATTAAACTAGTTAGTCAACTAACGAACTACTTGAGACTAACGAATGGACAAAGTTTGATGGATATAATTAATGGGCGTTGCAAAGAGTATAGGTTCTATATAGCATAGACAATTGCGTATCGGGCTGCTTATTAGTCAAACAGCTCCAAAATGGCTGGCATTTAGTTGGTAAAGGCGTCAGGTTAGGCAGACTGGAGGAAGACACAAGCTTGGGGGCGTATAACTAGTTAAGCCCAAGTCGCAAGGATTAATGGCCAATGACAGATGACAGTAGAGAGTCAAGAGTAGCTGTAAATGGGGGCGAGGACACGTGGCTGGGCCTGCCGGGTTACGTACATACCAAAAATTGGAGCACATTAATCAATCCAATTAATATGAAAAAGGTCAGCGATGCCACCGACTACACGCGCGCGCACCAAGGTGGACTATGTAATTTTCGAAAATGTTAAGAGTCCACAGAGTCGGGGCTGCGACGCATATGATTTACGAGACAACTTCAACGGACGACCCAGCGACAGACAACAGATAATAATTTATTGATATCAAACATTCCATAAGTATATTGTGGGTGTTGTCAGAGCTTTACCAAACAAAAGTATTCCATAGACGGCTAAACGGTCACACACTCCACACACAAGCTGTAACTAGAGATGAGCTCGTGTGCTACACATCGGCACAAACGCAAGTATCGGCACGAATATCAAAAGCACGAACATAACCTACAAATCTTAAACTAACAAGCAATCTACGATAGCTAACTTTTTATTATTCTAGTTGTTAGAAACTGTCTGTCAAGCCCATTAGAAAGCTCTGAAATAACTTATCGTAGCTAAATTATAGAGAACAATGCCCTAATAAAGCTTGAACCACTTGTCAGAGCGAAATGTTCATTTTAAGGCATATTATTGCTAGAACTAATCTAAGCTATCAATTAAAAAACATCAGCTACATTCCATAATTAGTTTTCATAGATTCCCTAGCGCCTAAACCACAAATATGTATGGTAAGAAACATTTCAAAGCTTTGTTTTTAAATAAGCTTTTCATAGAAAGAAAAATACTTTCCAGAATAGGCATATATAAAGGCCTGAAAGATATGCTCGAATTTCTGCCCTAACATTAAATTTAAGCCATGAAAGGAACTTACAACCCATTGAAATGCCACCCAATGCCAATGCTACACTGACTGCGCTTATAATTCGCAATAAGTTTTAGCAAAAATGTGCTTAAAGCTCTCCACTGTCGCGCTCTGGTGTCGTGTCTTTTAAAGCCTGCTGCACACACATCTCTAGCACACACAGACACATACTCGCATCACGCACACTTGTGCAGAGGGCGAGAGACCCGTGACCTACAAAGTTGGTTAATCGTTGCCAAAGGGTGTGAGCACAATTCAGGTTCGAGTTGGCTTTCGGCCTCGGCCTCGGTCTCGGCCACGGCAACGAGCTCAGTTTCGGCTTCGGTTCGTTGTCGGACGCGGCTTCGGCAAATGGCATTCGGCAACTATTTCCCAGCAGATACTTCACATGACTATATATTATAGTAATTATGTACATATATGTCAATGGGGTTGGGATTTGGGTGAGTCGTACTTAGACCATAATTGAAAGCTACCTCAAATTTTAAAGCGAGAGAGAGAGGGGGAGGGGTTATTCAAATAGAGAATATTTTAAATTTTTGTAATTACTTTACAATTGTATTTTAATTGAACAATATTCAAGAATTTTGTACATTCATACTTAATACACAACATTTAATTAGTTTCAAAAACTTGAATAGAATATATTTGAGAAAAAAAAAAAACGAAAACGAAAAAGATCAATCAATAATGAAAAATCAAACAGAATAGACGTACGATACAAATACAATAAATGCTATAGTTAATAGAACTCTGGCCATCGTGTGGGCCTTCTTATTCTAACAATAAATCAGTTGAGATTCCGATAATTGAGCCCAGGCACAAAACATATGTAGTTGCATTTCTATAGATAGATAGATAGTACTTCATTCTTTGCTATGATACTTATAAGACACACAGAGACAGGTGGTGAAAAGGCAGGTGGAAAGGTGGCAGAGGGGTGCAGTGACGGGAGAGGGGGGGGGGGGGGAGTCAACAACCAAATACCAAATCCTGCATGTTAGATTCACACGCTCCAGATGGGTTTTTTTTAATATTATCAAATTCGAGTTTTCATAGTTTGATTCCTTTCTTTGGTTTAGCTTTCATTTGCTTAAGTATTTGTTTTTAAATAGTTACTTGGTTTAGTTAGTTAGTTGTTGCCATTTAGCACGCACATATGCATAGCGTTTGTTTGAAATGTCAACGAATTGGAATTAGAAAACAAAAAAAAAGAGTTTGATTTCCATGTATATGTATACCGTTAGTCGATAAATAGTTATGTGTGTGTGTGTGCTGGTGTGTGTGTGTGTGTGTGCGTATCTATTGGCCGCTTAGATTTAAACATCAACAACCATTTTCTTATGTATATCCGTATTGCCCACGACGGAACAGAACTCATCGAATGATATTTTGCCATCCTCATCCTTGTCGGCGAAACAGATTGTCTTGTCGACAATCTGTTGCAGTTGCGTATCCTTCAAATTGTTGCCAACCATCATTTTGAGCACCTGAAAGAGCTCACCGTTTGAGATATAACCATCATTGTCCATATCGTAGATGCGGAATGCGAAACGCAATTTGGATAGCTTATCGCCGCGCACACTGAACTGTGAGACGCCCTGGATGAATTCCTTGAAATCGACCTCACCATTGCCATCCGCATCGAATATATCGATGACGCGCTGTACAAGCGGATTCTGTTGCAGTTCCGGCAGCGACATAAACTCATCTATGCTCAACGCTCCCGAATTGTCCAGATCGAGTTTACGGAAACGTTTGCCCAGGCGACGGATCTCATCTGCATCGAAATTGGAGCACATGTCCATTGGCAGCGATGTTTCGTTACCCATGTCGAAATTTTTGGCTCTTCTCTATTTTTTTGCTCTTTTTGCTGCTCAAATGTAGCTAAAAGCAACAAAAAAAAAAATATATTTGTTTTATTTAATTTTTTTTTTCATGGATTTGCGAGGCTTTGGCAGCACTTTACTCACCTAACGGTGACTTGCTGTTGCTTTTGATCAGTTTACCGTTATCCTTAGGCGCACATCCTGCAAGCAAAACAACAACAATCAACACTTGATTTTCAATATGTCCTATCGATTTTTCCCCGTATTTCAAGTATTTTCTGCCCATACACAGCGCAAATTCCAGGTTTTTATTATTATGTCCTTACGTTAAACTCAACTGCGATTGCTCTGAATTCGCACACATGCATGCGCACAATAAATTAATATGATTTTATTTATATATATATATATATATATTGTAGCGTACCGTAAATAGATAAACAACAAAATGCGTATACGCAGTGGGATTGTGGGCACGCGCTCTCTGCGCGTTCAAGTCTCGGTTGGCTCTCAGCTTGCTGGCAAACAAGTTCAGTGATTTCTATCGCGATGCTTTGTATGTATGTATTGGCTTGGATGTGTCCTTTAGGATATCCTTGGGTGCGTAATTGGGTCCCAGGCCTTTGAATTTGGGTATATAGCAGCTAATGCAATCTATTGTGAATTTGCAAGCCAGTGTTAATATTATTCGGTATTTTTTAGTGCATTTCTAGCTGCCACCTGTAGTACATGCCTCTGACCCGAAGTAGTATTTTAATACCAAAGAAAACGGATTTTCAGTTTTTGCAATTATTGCTACTTATTATAATATAATAAATAAATAAAACATTATTTAGCTCAAAGCATAGGAAAACAAAATATTAAATACATTGATACAATTATCATGTACATTTTCTTTTACTTGTTTTTCAAAATGTGGCTCACTTTATTTTTTTTTAATTTCTTCACTAATTTCTGTTAAAAATAATATTCTTAGTTATTTTTTACCTGAATTTGATGAAGAGTTGACTTCTCGCTGACACTTTCTAACTTTCGTATTGTGCAGCCATAAATAAAATATAAGCACACGTTTAATATTTGCCGTAAAGAATTAATAGACTTTTTCAACAAATTGGCTCAATTGCCATTTAAAATATGTATTCAATAAATAGCACTATTAGAAGATGTACACAAACTATTGTGAATTAACGCCGATCGATTTATATTTAAATACCAAAAACACTTGCACTCACATCGTCTAAAAAGAAGTTCAAAGGATTATTGTGCGCTTTTAGGGATACAAACAGTTACTGTAAGATGCGTTAGGGTGACCAGGCGCGAGTATTAAACAGCATTCACTAACACTGCAAAGGCGCGCATTTTGAAATCTTTGAAAGCTACCAAGAAAATTATTTAAATCGTTAATATTACATATATATATATCACTTTACTAATGTAATATATAGAAATTTTAGCTTAACTGTACATACAATTTAAAAACACAATACTTGACATTTGCGCAAACTACAACTCCTTTCGCTTCTCCTGCAGATAATCCTCCTCGTCGGTGCTAACTTCGTAAACATCCAAAGATTTCATTACTTTCTTTTGATTCGAATCGTTGAGTTTGTTTTTGCTGTTATTATTATGCGACATATCGCTTGTTTTCTTCAATTTATTTTCTATGCGTTAAAATTGTAAATTAATTAGCTGGCAACAAAATAACAAATTTGCAACTTACTTTGCGCAACACGTTCCAGTTCGTCCTCAGTGTCGGGACCAGACGAATGCACCCGATGCGCTGTGCCCTCGAAGCTGTTATCAACATCAACTGATCGGCTACTTATGTTAGCTACCATCTCCACATCCCTGTCATCATCATCCGCAGTGGGCTTTAGTGATACATCGTACAGCTCCACATCGCTCTCCGGCTGAGCTGATTCGGTTGTATCGAGAGCATATCGACGCCAGGGCAAATACTTTTTCAGCGCATAACACTTTTCAATCCATTGACGCGTTACAATTTTGCCCTTGCCCTTGACCTGATTGTACTTGGGCGTATTTCGAAAGGCACAGCTAAACAGAAAAAAAAAAAAAATTATAAGTTCAATTGCATGGAAATTTATATGGGACATATGCGTACATGAGATGCGTGCAGCCGGATTCCCAGTCAGCTTTGTACTTGGCGCCCAGCGCTAAAGCTTTGGAGCGCAAATCCGCACGATCTGGATTCTGTATGAAAAGATGATTATGTTTAAGTCATTCAATAATTATTTGAATGCCCCACCCACCTGTATGCCACTGATGACCAGGACAACGCCACGCAGCAGCTGATTAAAGGGCACATATTGCACCTGCTGCTCGACATGGGTCTTTTGCTTTTTGGCTGGCTTGCTGCTGTCATCCATGGATGCAGATAGACGCTTCTGGGGCTGTGCAGCTGCAGGTTTGGGACTCTCTTTGGGCGCAGCAATTGGTTTGCTACTCTCCTTGGGCGCAGCAGTCGGTTTGGTACTCTCCTTGGGTGCGGCTGCTGTTTTATCGATAGATGCTCGCTTTTTTCTATCCCTTTTCTTTTCCAGCTCCTCCAGTTCCAAGCGCCGCCTGTTTTTGTTCGCCTCAATGTTTTTCATCAGGCGCTGCATTTTGGCATCAATGGCAACTTCCGGATTGGCTGCAGCGGCATCATCCTCATCCGGGTTATCATCGCCAAACATCAGCGAATCTCGATTGCGATCCAATAGCTTGATATTGTCCGCCTTGTCCGAACTGCCACTGGCGGCAGGTGATGCTTGTAATTTAATAGGCGCCGGTCGCGTATCGCTCAAACGACGCAAAGCCGCCGGCGAGGCGGCATCTCTAATGGCCGCCGCCGTGCTGAGGGTGGCCGGTGCATGGCCATCGTCATTGCGTGTGGCCTTCCAGCGCTGAAAGAGCGACAGGGCGGCTTTGCCATCCGGTTCCGAATCGGGTGACTCCTCGCGCAGCTTAAATTGGCCCAGTGCAGTGAGGCCCTTGCCGGCGCTTGGGGTCAATTTAAATTGATCGGGCACCAATGATTTTGGCTTCACGGCAGCCGCCGCGGCGGTCACATGCACCTTGACAAAGGACAAGCCGTACTGGACATGCTTATTGAACGGCTGCGTGCACACAATTTTCACCAGCTTCCATTTCTCGGGCAGCGTTGTCGCTATCAACGCTTCGCTATTGAAGCAGCGCACGCGATTCGTGTTGGCCGAGTTCTTGCTCTCGATGGGCGTCATAAATGAGCTGGAGAGCAGCAATTCCTTAAAGTCATCCGGCTGGCAGCCTGTTTTGCTGACCAGCACCTCAATGAATGCGGCATGCTCATTGCCAATGTCAATTCCGTTGATTTGTTGCGGCTCCTCAAATTCCAATATAACATGCGCCGATTTCTCACCGTTCGCTTGTGTCTTCCATTTTTTGGCGGCATTTTCCTTCAACAGATTTGCCGCCACATGCACCTACAATATGAAGGATAGTTTCTTAGACAATTGTAACTTTTATGTTATTTATAGCTTACCGAATCCTCGCTGCTTACTTCGCGCACAGATTTAAAAACCCCGATCGGCATTTCAACACATTTGTTGCCCAGACGCCGGTCATTTGTGGCGGACTTTTGCTGTTTATCGATTTTTATGACGATAGGCGATAGCTGATGGTCTGTTAAACGATTATTAAATGTGAATTATATTAAGACATGCTTAAGCTTAAGCCCATTTGCTGTTTGTCATTCCTTTTGTTTATTTTTTTCTACTTAACAATAGTTTTTTGTTTAAATTGTGGTTACAGTTGTTCTTTGCTTAATTCACACTTATCGATATTTGGTATTTTTTCGATAAACGTATGCGGTCACACTACACAGCCCGCTGTGATTTGGGCACGAACATGACATCGACTTGAAAGTTTCTTATTATTTGTTATTTGAAAGCGGTGTCTAGCGTGCATGAAGGGTCTGCAATATGAATCCTCTCTTAAATGAAATACAACGCATTATCACGGATCTACGCGCCGAGAAGCCAACCACTCGCAATAAGGCAGTCGAGCAGTTGGACCAAAAGCTTAACAGCTCCAGAGATGCCGTAAATGCGGCGCTGGGCAAATGCCAGGAATTGTCCTGGCAGACCATCTTTGACGCCGCCAAGGATTCAATTTTCAAAGTACGTTTATTCGATATAATAAACCCATATATATATATATGTCCGTTTATACAACAAATAAGCACGCTGCCAATCTGCAAGATGCCAACGAAAAGTCGTTCAAGACGTTGTCGGATAAATGTTATCTATACGGCAATGTAATGGACAAGATCATTGACTACAACTTGGAGAGTATGAAAATATGCGACATGACATTGTTAGGCATTAAGCCAATTCTTTATATTTGCAGTGGGCCGTGGCGGCAACGGGCATTTTCTGCTCAAGTCAAGCATATTCAATGCCTTCGAAGAGGGCATCAAGCAGCGTATTGTGGTCAGGCATTTTGGGGATCATTTCATTAATATGCTGGACAGAGGCATCTTTCTATCGCAAAGCTACATTGCCCAGCTGAAAGTCAGCGAATATAGCCGTAAGTTTTTAGCTGCGCTTCTTTTTGTCTGCAACCGGCAAAAGATAAACAATATTAATACATTTTGCCAGGCATTCTGTCCTATCTGTTCGAACTGAATGTTGATAAGGACGAGTTCCTGCGCTCCAAGATATTGAAATGCATAACCAAGACGCTGCAATCAGCTCAGCAGCGTGTGCAGCTGCATGCCGATCTAGTTGACTATCTGCCCACGCTTAGCAGCTATACGCAGACGGCCAGCAGTTCGGAAAGGAAAACGGAAATTGTGCGCCTCTATCAGATATTTGTGGCCGAGGCAAGTGTCAAGCTTAACTGCTTCCGGGCGCAATTTTTGCTAAATAGCCTAATTCCTAATCATTGCCAGCTGTCGGTCAACTATCATCATAAGCTATGCATGCACATGCAGGAGATAATGCCAAAGCTGTGCGATTTTCACAACGACGATTCATTCCGCGATGACACCAAAAGGATATTCTTTGAGTGCGTCATATTGTCGCTACAGACGCTATATCCAAAGTTAAAGCAACACGACTTTGGCACATTCCAAGTGCCACTCAACGAGGACTGGCCGCAAACGATGCAACAATTGCGCACCATTGTTAACATGGAGATTAGAAAGAATTGCATGGGCCGCGGCAAAGAGTCGGTACTGAATAGCGATAAATTTTCAGATACATTTATTCGAATGGCTGCTCTGGTCGTTTTTATAGTAAGACGAACGCTAAATATAACTCGATACGCTGGTTATATATTAACAATTCTTGCAGGTTCAATGGCATATTGAGCCGAGAGGCGCCGAAATTGGAATCGAGGTGCCCAGCAAACGTCCCAGGGTCGATAAATTGGAAGTCATCATCGAACTAATTGATAAACAGGAAACTAGCTTTAATGCGATTTGGTAAGCATATGCGATTTTTGCATGCATTTAGTTTCTTGTGACTTATGCAGATTCGCAGGTTCGCCATATTCGCAGAGCTGCTGCAGCTGAGCAATACAATTATAAACGTGGCCAACTATCAGCAATCGCTGCTGGCCACGCTGGATGTGCTGCTTATCTATGGCAATGGCAAAAATCTGCATAACGTGCGCCTCTGCCTGACGAGCATGCTCGATAAGGAGCGGGAGCTGTTGCAAACGAAATCCATACCCGCTGACTTTATGGCCGATCAGTGGTCAAAAATTGCCACACATCTTATATCTGAGACACGACCCGCTGCCGATGAGATTTTGGAAAAGCAAATCATACTCCAGACGCTTATCAAACACGGCAAACTGAGCCCAACGCTGTGCGCCACACTGTTGCAGAGCATTACAACAAATGAGATGCTCAGACGCAACGAGTGCATCGAAACTATGCGCGAGATATTCATACATGCCGAACAATGCGGCCTGGACAAGGCCTCCGGCGATCTGGAGCCCATTATTAAGTGGGCCTATGCAAGCGAGACGAGCAGTGCGCTTCAAATGATATATTATATTGCTGCAATTGATACGCAATTGCTTGCCGATACGTTTGCTATTGGCATCATTAATTTCCTGGACGAACAGCAATTGCAGCAACTGTGCAGCAGCCAAGCTGCAAGTGCCACAACAGCCAGTTACAATCTGCAGCTGCTGCTCTACAAGTACAACAAGCAGCTGGTCTGCTTGGATGAAACGTTTCAGGCGCAACTGCTGCGCTCGGGCGGCATGCAGCACACTGACACCGATCCGGGCGCCAAGAACTGTCTGTTTCAGCAGAACTATGAGCTGCTTATGCGCATGCTGAATTTAACGCCCAGCAGCGAGCACACGACCACTTCCATGCTCAAGGATCTGAGGTGTCTGCATAAGCTGGTCTGCACCATGGAGCGTCTGTTGCACTACAAAGTCTTCGATGCTGAGAACCTGACCCACTGTCCGCTTATAAAGCGCATTGGCCTGTTTCTCAGTCACATTGAGGCGAGTGGCACGAAACCACCGTTTGGCAATGCTCAAATTAATATCGAACTTTCTTATCGCTTGCAGTTTCAGTACAAGGCCAACCAGTCGGAAATTAGCCGCATTGACGACAGCGATTTGCGTGATATTCTGCAGCAGCAAATTGTCGTGCTGGATGTCTTCAATTCAAATGATATACTATTGCAGTATCTAGAGAAGCAGCCGATCGAGATGCTGCTCGAATTTATAGGCGTGCTGCTTAATCAGATATGTAAGGATATTAGCTCAAAGCTCAAAGTAGCTTTAAGTAAATCGGAGATAGTATTCGTATTGTTATTTAGAACTTTTCATTTAACCTTAATTTTGTTCAAAGTAGAAGCTTTACACACACTTTTTCTATTTGTTATATGGCATATCGATTCGATTGAGTATTTAAACCTAGTTTATTTTTGAAAAACTATAAATAATGCTTGTTTTCGCGTTTCAGGTACTCGCAAGGATATCGCAGATAGCATAGAACATGCAACATTGACCTCGAATTGCCTTCATATCCTGGGTAGCCTGTGTGCAAATAGTTCCTATAACGTGGAAGCATTTCGTCATATAGCCAAAAATTTGAAGATTCCTTCCACGCAGCAGCATGTGCTGTTGGTCATCAGGGTAAATCATATTTGTGTTGTTGAATTATTTAAATGTGATAAGCTAAAGTACTGAATGCATTTTTAGATGCTGTGCAAATGCAAAAGCCTATCGCAGGAGTGCATTGTTTGGCTGGTGGAGAAACTAAAAATCATTTTTCTATATCACCATACAAACGTTGATTACATTACCGAGGTGGTCGAACATCTGCCCAGTATGTATTGAGCAACAGCTGACCAGACCAACACCCTGGACTCATATGCCGCTTGTCTTACTTTCAGCTGTCATTTACTTTGTATACAAATCTGAGAATCAGCTGGACGATATGCTGTCGGCTTTAATATCGCTAATGCGGATTGCTTTAAGGAAGGCCTATCCAGCAGCATTGTCGGTCAAGATAGTGCTATCCGTCGGACTGATAGCCCAGCGCTGTCCCAATATCTATGATTTGCCCAATTTTCATGTGATTTGCTTCTCGGTGGCAAAGTTTCTGACAATGCCAACGCTGGAAATCCGTTTTGCAACAGTCGCAACGCTCACACAGCTGCTGAATACCAATTATTGTGTATCTGATAAAGATGGAGACACGGTCAGCAAATGTGCCAGCCATTTGGTATTCTGCGAGCAGCTCTACGGCAACATCGACTGGAAGAAGCTAACGGTTTGGAAATCAAATTATATCACAGGCATTTCATTATTATATGCTTTATTTTGCAGTTCATCAGCGAGGATCTGGTGCAGAATAATCATGCGGTGGCAATTCAATCGTTTATTGCATTCTTTGCCTTCAGCACATTTCATCAGGAGGTTGCAGTTCAGGATTTGTTGCCGTACTGTGCGCTGCACAAGCTGAACGAAAGTGGGTTAAGCTGAGAAACTGCTGTTGTATATTTATCGCATATAAACATTTTTTTTAACCATTGCAGATGCATTCTGCGCCCTGGAGAGCTTTGTGCATCGCCACAAGAGCACCATGCGTCAGCTATTGACACCATATGCGGATTGCCTGCTGCACAAATGGCATTCGCTGCGCTGGGCCGTATCCAAGTGTGTTTGGGTAGCCACACAAATTGGTCACATTGCAAAATATACTTTTTCTGTCTTGCAGATTTCCATATTTTCTATGCTATGATACCAGGGAAGAGTTTATAAGAGCACATTCTAAGAGCATAATGGCCTATACATTCATCTATGGCAAGCCGGACGATATTATCCGCTATAAGAAGTTTATAAACGAACGGGTAATGCTATAATGGCTATATCTTAAACAAAACTGTAGACTAAGTGCTCGGACTGTACAAAATCGAATCGAAAAATCATTTCTATTTAAAAGAAAAATGCACAAACAGCTCCGGAAAATGAGTGGAAAACTATTTGGCCTTGCTTGAAGCAAAACACTTTGGCTCCATCTAAATGCCGCTAAATGTCAGCTAGTACATTATGTATTAATCGAATCAATTGGCACTTGTTCCAGGACGCGATGCCAATACTTAAAGCCTTTATGGTTGCGGACTTGTGCGATTGCACTGAATCGGAAGGTGTCGAGTTCCGGGCTCATCACGAAAATCTGAAACAGAATCTAGAGCATTTTCAATTGAAACCGATGGATCTGGCGCTCAATGCGACAACGCTATATCAAAGCATCAGGATGCTGCTTGACAAGGATGAACTCGCCAGACTGTTTGGCGGCGCGGTGCCGAGCATTAGTAACCCACTCTGGTTTCATCTAACGGCCAAATCGCTCTTCATGTCGCTGTACAAGCTTGTGGTGAGCTTTCACATTATGCTTGATCCATTCACACGATATAATTATGTATATATGCTTTATAGAAGGACCACGATGTGCCAGAGGATGATCGTATACAGAGCATGTCTGCGCTGATGTGTGAGCAGCCACTCATTTTGGTGAGTCTGCTTGGCACATTGAAGAGCGATTGCTATCGGGCCGTGCTGCCCAGTCATGTGTTGCATTGCTTCTTTTTGTATTGTACGATTGGCGATGCAATACTGGACACGGCCAAGGCATTGGAATCAGCGCCGTCCACGGACGCAAATTTGATCGAAGTCAATTGTGGCTATTTTGTGCGAGACGTTTGGTTCTTTGTTTGCCGTTTTCTCCTGCACAGTGAGTACTGTAGTGTCCGCTCTGCTCTTATTTTCTAATTGCCAATTGATTTTTAGGCAGATGTGGACAATTGCACATTGCTGCTATGGAATACATTGAAGTGATGCTGGCTAAGCGCAGTTTTCTGTCGCATAATCTTACCGCACACATGGATGAGATAGGCAAGCTATTGATTGCCTGTGTGCATCACGTGGAATCAAATCATCTGAAGATAAGAATTGCTCAACAAGTTGAATCATACATCAGCATGTACAGAGTGCAGCTAAAAGTCCAATCGCTGCTGGACGAGGCCGGCGATTGCAAATATTTACAGTCGCTGCGTTCCATGTTTGAGACAACATTGCCAAAAGTCAGCAGAGTCAGCGTCGTCGACTATATACGCGCTTTCCTGAAGCCTAACCGACTGGAACGCTTGCATGGTCTGCGCGAATACGTAAGCGCTTTCCATATTTACATATAACATTTATATTTATCGATATACTTCCGTCAATCAGATTGCCGAGCACAAGGAAGAGCTACAGAATCATGAACAGCTACTGTTCGAACTAATCAGCCGGCTAATTCGCATGGTGCGAGAGTCGGGCAAGCGGGACAACAGCCTCGATGCCGTCAAATGTCTGGCTGAGATTGGGCCGCTCAAAATGAATCATATCTCGTATTACTTTCAAACCGACTTCGAGTCCATACAGCAGGTACAAAAACAATCTAAAAACTATAACTGAAGTGAGAAGTGTTTTGTTATCTGAAGAAAGAAATTTGTGAACAAACCAACAAAACCAAAGAAAGGAATTTAAAATTGACTATTTACGTTGTTCGTTGCAGTCCTCGGAGCATCCAATGGACCAGTTCATCAGCATCATTATGGAGACGCTGGAGCGGCATCTGTTTGACTTCAATATCAACACACAGGAGGCGCTCGTCAAAGTGGCCGGTCATGTGGTCAACAGTAAGAGTGGCGTCAAGCTATTAGGTTTGTGTTCGACACTCAATCAAATGCTGAGCCAATTAATTATATCCGTGGCAACTTACAGCTCAGTATCCACATTTGCGCATCTTTTACACGGGCGTACACAAATCCGGTTTCCTGAATTCGGCCAGCAGCATTCCCTCTATTGACTGGCTGACCGTGCTCAAGGCCACCCAGCATCTGGACTATGAGCCATGGATGTGCACGTTTATGGGCACGTTGTTTAGGGAGTGCAGCTGGCAAGGATTTGATGCATATGCGAACCAGTCCTTTGACTTTGCCAGTGCCTGTCTGCAGTCATTTATGAAATTATTGCTTAACAATAAGGATCTGCATTTGGAAAGCTTGTGCTCAATGCTCGAGCACTTCTTTGAGTGCTCCGCGAATGCGCCCAAAGATATTTACCAGGATAAGCGTGTCATCAAGCGATTCCTGTATATATGCGAATGCGTACGTGTGGTTAACAATTGGTATGTTTATGTCAAAGAGGAAAGGAACAGCACAAGTCTATAATGCAATTCCTCTATCTCTCTCTCTTTCTCTTTTCAATTCATGCCTCAGGAGCATACCCATTAATCTTGGGAATGTGGTCAAGGCAGGCAATCATTGCCAAGCTTATTTTTTGAGCATTATGTATCTGGAATTGTGGGCCTGCTCGGCTAATGCGGCGCCAGATGCAAATATCCTAGCAGACGAGAACTTTCAAATGTCCGCCAAGATGGTAAGCAAACTATCAGAAACGATTAAGATTTCCAATTATATTTAAATATCATTTTCCAATAGGCATATAAGTCCATTGGCTGTCTGGATGCTATACCCGGCTTTTTAAATCCTTTGCGCTCCCGCGTCGATTATCTCAGCTTGAATGATAATTTGTCTGGCATTCTGCTGGAATCGGATAACCTGGATGAGCCCAATAGCGAGATCTGTATGGACATTATGAAGAGCAATGGCATGCTATCGTTTGCCAATCTTTACCAGCGTTTTGGCAAAAGCATGGAAACAGACTATGAAACACTGTGGCGTCTCAGTCAGTGGGATGAGCAAATCGAGGGGCATCATAAGGTGAACTGGTCGAACAACTTGGAGCAGGAGTTCAATAAGCAACACTACATTGCACTCAAGTCCATTAGCAAGCGCGAACAGGAGAATACCGTTTCGGCGATCAACAATGCCTATCAGTGTGTCCAGGAAATATTGCGTAACATTAGCGTAGAGTGTCTACAGTCGGTTTACAAGTATATGACCTGGCTGTGCATGCTGCAGCAGACCGAAGACTTTTGTCAGGTTTGACTATAATATGATTTTAATATACGAATAAGTCATTTAAATCCCATTTGCAGATTCAGTTTTGCCAACAATTGGCTTCAACGCAAATCAATGAAGTATTCGACAAATGGCAAACGGAACTTAATCTCGCCTACGGTAGCTTCAGCTGCAAGGAGCAAATACTCTCCCATCAGATATCGTTATTCAAAATGTCCGGGACACGCGCCAATCGTCGGATACAACAGTATTACCATCAGAGTCCTGTGGACACCTATCTGCTCAAGTGCATCGGCGAGTGCAAGGCAGCTGGCAAATTGAATTTGGCCACCAAGTATATATCCACGCTGCGTGGTATGACCGATATTACGGAGCCCACAAAGGCAAGTCTATTGCTAGATGCGCACTGTTAACAAATTGGCAACAGCGCTCTGTTAACTTAACAGCTGCTCAGGACAGACCGTTTTAAATTAGCATCGATTAACATTGGCTGTTAAGAAAACAACACTGTTATCCATAACATTATATGGCTCTTGACTTAACATGATCCGTGCAACAGAGCACTGTTAACATACTGCTATTGAACTCTTTTTTTTTTTTGCAGATCTCTGTGCTGCTGGAGGATGCGGATGTGAATGTGAAGCGTGGCAATTATCAGATTGCCAAGGCCATATTGCATCATGTGAATAAAAACGCAGAATTTCAGTTCTGTCTACAGCGCGTGCCGGCACTGCGAATGCAGGGTGAATTCCTGTTAGACTGCAATGCCGAGAGTTTCGGTTATACATTGGATCAGAAATTCAATCAATCTCTCAAGCTGCTGGATCACTTCCAGTCGCACCAGGCGCTGCTCATGGAGAAATATCCCAATATTTTTGCATGGGATACATTCGAATCGTTCGAGAATCAGAATCGCAAAGCCGCCCACGAGTCCATAGCCAAGTACGCGGACCGGGAGTATCAGCGGCTCCATGATTATCGACAATCACAGGAATACCAAACGCTCGTCGATATCATACAGCAGAATCGTCGATTGGCCGGCACAGTTACTGGCGCTAGGAGGCCTGACTGTGATCGTGATCGCCAAATTGGAGCACTCAATTTGAATCGTTTCGCCAAGCTGGATGAGCAGGAGCTGCGACGCATCGATGATAATCTAACCGAACATTTGTGTACAGCAATCTCACATTATATTATATACTGTCAACTGGATGGCGGCTTCTCCAGCGACGCAATTTATCGGATAATTGCGCTTTGGTTCACCAATGATCAGAACAAAGCGATGCTGGAGAGGATCAGGGAGCCAATTAAAACGGTGCCCAGCTACAAGTTCATTTGTGCTGTCAGTCAGCTGGCCGGACGACTGAATTCCAAAAATGAGGACTTTCACAAGGTGCTCGTCGATTTATTGGTGCGCTGCGGCACCGATCATCCCCAGCAAACATTTTACAAACTATATCCATTAGTTTACGCCTACATGGATGGCAGCCATAGCAATACCCAGCGCGCAGACATTGCCAAAAGAATAATCAAAGAATGCGGCGATGCGAATCCGATTGCGCTCAAAGCCAGCCGACAGTTCGAGTTCATGTTTCCAGGTAAGCTGAACCAGCTGGTTAATCATGGCTGATCTTTAACGCGGTCTCTGTTCTTAAACTTTCAGCGCTAATTGGCTTCGCCAACACGTATCTCTCTCCAGGCCCAAATGGGCGGCCCAATCCCAAAGTGGTGCCCGACAAGCTTTTGAAGCTGAGCGTACTCAAAATGGATTGCATACAATGTCCCACATTGGAGCTGCAAGTCCAGCCCAGCCGGCAATATAATTTAATCAGTAAGTCAGAACGGAAGCCCAACTTTTAACGATATATAACATATATATATATATATATAACTTTTCAACTGACTATTTGTCATTCCATACGCAGGCATCACAAAGTGGACGGGTGAGTACTCGTTTTGTGGTGGCCTCAATGCGCCCATTAAGGTAAAGTGCCTCTGCTCGGATGGCGTGGTGCGTGCTCAGCTGATCAAAGGCAAGGATGATCTGCGTCAGGATGCTGTTATGCAGCAGGTGTTTGGCATTGTCAACGAGCTACTGAACAGCGACTCACAGTTTATTGAGCGCAAGCTGCATTTGCGCACCTACAAGGTGACCCCACTCTCAACACGGAGCGGCATTCTTGAGTGGTGCAGCAATACCATACCTGTTGCCTCCTATCTGGTGGGCGATGGCACTGGCGGTGCGCACATGAAATATCGTCCGAACGACTGGAACAATCGTAAATGTCGTGATCTGACAGCGGTACATAGACATTATGTTATATCCAATAGAGTATTTGATGTATTCATATATTTATTATGCAGGCGGGCCTGAAGAAATCGCCAGCGGAACGTAGAAAAATCTATCACAATATTTGCGAGCATGTGAAGCCAGTCTTTCACTATTTTCTACTCGAGAAATTTCTAATACCGGGCGAATGGTTTGAGCGGCGTCTGGCATACATCAATAGCGTGGCCACCACCTCGATGGTGGGTTATGTTCTCGGCCTGGGCGATCGCCATACACAGAATATTCTAATTGATGAGCAGACCGCTGAAGTGGTGCACATTGACTTTGGTGCGGTTTAAATGGTACCCAACAGTTAACTTGTTTTTTTTTACAGTTTCCTCTTGTGTAATTTGTAGGTATTGCCTTTGAGCAGGGCAAGATTCAGACAACGCCGGAAACGGTGCCGTTTCGCTTAACGCGCGATTTTGTTGCACCTATGGGCGTTTGTGGTACAAACGGTGTTTTTACCAAGTCCTGCGAAGCAATTATGCATATATTAAGGCGTTACAAGTCCGTTTTTACCACCATCTTAGAAGTTCTACTCTACGATCCACTGTTCATTTGGGGCGTGCTTTCAAAAGAGCAACAACAACTGCAGTCAAGTAAGTGTCTGGTAAAAATCTATTTAACTAGAATTTAATTAATTTCAATCCATTGCTATTGTCAGATGAGGAATCCAAGAATTCACTGGCACAGCGTGCCCTAATACTTGTTAAGTACAAACTGGAAGGTAGGGAGCCGGGTTTATTGGACAACTCGAATGTGGAGGCACAGGTGCAGCGTCTGATAAACGAGGCAACGTTGCCAAGCAATTTAGCAATGCTTTATCATGGCTGGGACCCATATCTGTGATACACTGGCATAACATCACACATACACACATTAGCTAGTTAAACTAAAAATATACATAATTTTGCAAATTTCAAGTTTTTTTTTTTTATTGTTGTTCAAATTTTGGCGGTCATTTAGTGTTGCCCATACGTTACGAATTGAGCAAAACGATAAATGATGCTTATCGCTTGCCGCTAGAGTTGCCAGACCGTGTCGCATATTATTGTAGCGCAGCGAAAAGGTGGCAACGCTGGCAAGCCAAGCACAAATAAATAACATTAACATTGAAGTGAAAGTAGAATTAAGCAATTTCCATGCAACGTTAAACAATAACAATTGCTAAAATTTGCAAATCATGAACACCGACGCTCGGCAACGGCATAAATCAAACGATGAACAGGCGGCAACAGTTGCCAATGCGGATGCAGTGGGAAAGACAAGCGCATCAACGAATCAATCGCCAGATGATTGGATCCGTTTATCACAATGGGTGCATTGTTTTTGTGTTGTTACCTTCGATCTGAACTTGGGCCAGGCACTCGAATATGTCTATCCCGCCGAGTTTATGCCCAGCGATCAGGAGGTGAGCAACATTTGCTACATGGCCTTCCCGGACTCCAATTCGGGCTGCATGGGCGACACCAAGTTCCATATGCGTCTGCGGGCCATCCAAAATGCCAAACATAAAATGCCCGCCACCATGAACCAATACAATGGCGACTGTGCGCCGGCCATGCGCTACGATAGCAGCCACTATTGGGGATTCGTTTACTTTCGACAGAAACGCGATCCGAACCTGCCGCGCGGCTATTTCCAGAAGAGCTTAATCATTATAACGCGGCTGCCGTTCTTCAATCTGTACTACGATGTGCTCGCCCAGCTGGCGCCCAAATATTTCGAGCAGGGCAACGAACTGCTGCGCCGCGCCTGCGACCAAATCAACAGCCAGTGGCCAATGCTAATGGTCGGCCAGACGCTCAAGCTGCCGCTGTTCGAGTACAACTATCAGATATGCATACCCAAGGCGACCAGCAGCAGTCGCAAATTGCAGAGCTTACATGTTAACGCAGCAACACCAATGCCGCCCAATTCGCAGCCAGAGATGCCCATATCGGTCAAGGTGCTGGCATCTGTCAATGAGCTGGAGCTGTTCCACAGTCTGAGCTATGTGATAGAGCATCTGTATACGCTGTGGGAGCTGGTCATCACAGCTGAGCCCATTGTTGTGGTTGGCACCTCACCCGCTGATTGCTCGCACATGGTGCAGGCTCTGGTTGCGGTAATAGCGCCACTTGAATACTGTGCCGAGGCGCGTCCCTATTTTACCATACACGACAGCGAATTCAAGGAGTTCACCCAAGAGTGCACCAATCGACCCATACCAGCTGTCATACTGGGCGTCACAAATCCGTTCTTTGTGAAGCTGCTCAAGGATTGGCCGCACATGCTGCGTCTGGTGGATAATCAGGTAATTGATATGCTGCCTCAATACACTCTCGTCCAAGCTCATGCCATATGCCTTATGTATGCCTTGCAGAAGAACATGCAACAGCAGCAACAGGAGCTGCTGCAGCAGCACAAGAATACGCGCAATGCCAGCGCCAAACTGCCGCCGCAGCCAAGCGGCAACAATCACAACATCCTCAATGGCAGCCTGACGGCAGCGAGCGATAGCTCAGCCGCCGGACTGCATACCAAATACAAGCCGTACCTAAAGAAGGACAAGGCGCTGATCAAGAAAGTGCTGCTGGGCATTAAAACGAAGCGGCCGGATCATGTGCAGACGGCGCTCATCAGGCGGCATCTGTTGGAGCTAACGCAGAGCTTTATGATACCGTTGGAGCGTTATATGGCCTCCCTGATGCCGCTGCAAAAGGACATCAGCCCGTTCAAGTCGGCGCCCAATGCCCACTCATTCAAGCTGGATGATTTTCTGCGCAAGGTCGAAGAAGCTGGCCCACAGCTAACATCCACGCTCAAGGGCGATTGGAAGGGCCTCTACAGGCGCTTCTTTCGTTCGCCCAATTTTCGTGGCTGGTACGAGTCGCGGCATCGGGAGCTGCAGCTAACGCTGCAAGATCTACAGCTGCAGGCGCTGTCCGAGGCAAATCTGGAGCATTGGGCACACGACAAACAGGAAGTGGAAATAATTGATATGATACTCAAACTAAAACAAAAACTGAATCTCTACAGTGATAAGACACAGCTCGAGGGCAACACGAATACCACCCAACGGCAGATAAGGGCGCAAATTGAGTGCATGAAAGGCCTGCTGCCGTCCGATTTGAAGAATGTTGTGAATCTTTGATCATTAGCTAAATGCGCCCAACCCCCCAACACACCTGCAATCTGCCCTTAACTCAATATTATATATATATATATATATATATATATATATATATATATATAGCTGAGAGCTGTTGTATGATATTTGGTTAATTGCCTGGCAGTTACAACAACACGTTAAGTAAATCCCTTAAATCATGTCTAGATACGTTTATAAAAGATATCTCCATATAAGTATATCTATCCATAAATGTGTGTGTGTGTGTGTGTGTGTGTGTGTTGTTGGTTCCTTAAAGCGATTTAGCTTGTAAGTAAATAGATTTGTAGATGTGTACAAACAAATAACCATATCCACAATGTTTTCCAAAACCTCAACTTGTATATATCTATAACTATATATATATATATATATATATATATATAGTATTTGGCTACGTTGCGCAACGAATTAGTCACATTATCATCGTTCAGAAATAAATCCTATTCATGTAAAACCAACATTAGACGATGGATATTACTGTTCCATATGCTCTTCAAGTGCTCCCACTTATTATATATATATGATATTAATCCATAGAAAGCTCATTCCCGTTTTTGGTTGCGCCACAAATTAACATTAAGTTCGCTTTTACTTTATCACTTTTAGCGCATGTTCCATTCCAGCATTCCACAAGCAAATTTTTAGGTTAGGAATTAAAAAAAAAAACCTTTTCTTTAATGTATTTCTTTTCTGAGAACTTTTCTGTGTTGTTGTAATTGTTTAACTTATTCTTAATCTGAATTTGTCTTTCAATCCATGTTAAATTTGCCAATATTTTTCGAATCAACAAAATTTTAGACTATGCAGCGAATAATTTCAATAATACAAGTTCATATATTTAAGTTGGAAAACTGACAATAGTCAATTTAGATGCTGCTTTCAATTCGTACTTGTTCTCATGGCATGTTTCATTCCAGCATGCCGCATTTTGCAGGTTAGAGGCGAATCAATAAATGGAACGCTGGAATGAAACATTCGATCAACTTGCATGGCATTCATGCTTAGATCAGTCAAATACCCCTCCACATATTTGTACTAGTTACGAGAAGAGCGCCACGAATGGAATGCTGGAATGGAACGTGCGAATTTGAATTTCGCTTAGCCAGAACAGAAACCAATTTGATAATAATATAAGTTGACTTCTTGACTTGACTTCATGCATGGGTAAATAAGAGTTCCAAGTTTTTATTATAAATATAAAATGAACAAAAAAAAAATCGAAAGACTTAATGGCTAAACATAGAATTTGTACGTTATTTAAGGGCGAGACAATCAGATGTATATAGGTTAGCTGAAAATGATAAGGATTAGATAAGAAAGACAATATCGTCGGCGACCATTATCTGATTGTCCTCGGTCATGCGATGCATGGCCGCATCAACCTCGCCGGCTGCAAACGGTTCCGCATTATTCTCGTTGATGGCCGCCGTGATGCGGTGCAGCGGCAGGCTCTGTTCGCGTGCCTCGCGAAACAGTCGCTGCAGCCCGTTCTTGAATACGCCCAGGCGTTCATCGGTAATGGTTGCTGGCGTTGCGGTGATGCTGCTGACGGGCTCCGAGCCGGTCAGACTTTGCGAGCCGGTTCCGGCGGCGGCTTCATGGTGCTGGCGTGCCGGCAGCGAGCGGCGTGTCTCACGGCGTGTCAGATCGCCCACATCCGGCTGTGGCGGCTCAATATCCTCATCGCTATCGTATACGGCATTTGGATCGGGTTCGGTGCGTGTGCGTTTGGATCGGCGCGAGGGGGAACGTGTAGCGGCATCGGTGGTGCCATTGGCATCTTCCTCCTCCTCCTCCTCATCGGAGGAGCCGCCATTGCGACGCCGCTTATTGCCGCGCTCCTTCTCCAGCACCTTCTTAAAGTAGGCATACTGCACCAGCTCAATGGCCGCATGGGCATCATCAATGGTCACCGTTTTGGACATGCGTGCCCGGGCATGCGCCGTGGCCAAACGTATAAGCGTTTCCAATGTACGCGCCGTAATCGGCTGTGTGCGTGCCACATCCGATTCGACAGCCTCCTGGGAGCGCAGGCGCGAATACTCATTGGCAATTGCCTCGCAGGCCTGCTCAGTCAGCTTGGGCTTCATGCACTTGGCAATGTGTATATACTTGCGCATAAACTCAACGGACAGAATCTTCTCGTGACGCTTGCGTGATTTGCCATGCAACAGTGCATCATATTTCTCATACAGCTCCGTATCCTTGCGCTGCAAAAAAATAAATGAAAATAAAAACAAAGTTGAGAATATGCGCAGGTGAGCCGCTGTCCAGATATATTGTACATACCTGTTCCGTGTTGGAGACAAAGGCCAGCGAGTCGGCATAAGAGCTGCCCATGGTGAGGGGCTCGCCGTCGGCTTCCTTGGGATTGCGATAGCGATGCATGCGCACCACATGATCCGATATCATTTGATCCACATCGCTATCAATGACGTCCAGCATGACGAACAGCAAATCGAAACGCGAGAGCAGCGAGTCCTGCAGACCAATATTTTCCATGGGTGTCTTATATTGATCGTACTGAAATATGCGTAAAGATTATGTTAAATACAAAGCGAAAATTGTTATAGGTACTCCAAGAAGGACTATTGAATTACTTACGCGTCCATAGACCGGATTAGCGGCCGCCAGCACCGAGCAGCGTGCATTGAGCGATGCATGTATGCCGGCCTTGGATATGGTAACCCGACCCTGTTCCATCACCTCGTGTATGGCGGTGCGATCAATGTCGCTCATCTTATCGAACTCATCGATGCAGACAACACCACGATCGGCTAGCACCATGGCGCCGGCCTCTAGGCGACGTTCGCCCGTCTCCTGATCTGTGGTAACGGCAGCGGTTAGGCCAACACCGCTGGAGCCACGTCCTGTGGTGGGTATGGCACGCGGCGCCGTATTGAGTACATAGCGCAGCAGCTGAGATTTGGCAACCGAAGGATCACCGATCAGCAGCACATTGATGTCGCCGCGCAGACGTGTGCCATTGGGCAGAACCTTCTCAACGCCGCCAAGCAATAGACAGAGTATGGCCTGCTTCACAAACGTGTGACCGTGTATGGAGGGCGCCAGGCTCTTGCTGAGCAGCTCGAATATATCATTGTTTTTGGCCAGTTTCTTGCAGAGCATAATGTCCTCGCGTGAGATATCCAAATTGCTTTCCTTGCTGAGCAGCGATATATTGTTGGCCAGCAGAACGGTGCGAAAGGTGCCGGATGTATAGCCGCCATGCTTGCCAGGCAGGCAGCGATAGTTGCCAACGATCTGGACACGATCGCCGGGCTTGCAGCGATCGACAAGATCATCATCGCACACAATATCAACGGAGCGCGGCAATTGGCCGGCTGGCGCCTTTTCTGGCATCTCCTGTATGGTTAACGTCTGATGATCCTTATATACAGACAGGCCGAATTCCGTTTCCAGCAGATTGCCATCATCGTCTTTTGTTGGATAAACAGCGCTCGAGGGCACCGTTTCGAATGAGGTGAGATCTGTATATTTGCGTTCCATCACCTTGCGCGTAGCCGGACAATAGTGTACGCTGCGCACAACCTTTGGATGTATGAGCGACACCTTGGTGACAATGCCCTCCAGACACACTAGATTACCCAGATAGATGGACGAGAGGGAGCGAGGCGTTACATGCCGATTGCCAAAACAGCCCTCGAAGCCAACGAAAAAATCTTCGTGCTGTTTGGCATAGCTGGGATCGACAGTTGAGATGTACTCCTTGAGTGCCCGCCCGAATGCCAGTTGCTCATCGGAGGCGTTGCTCAGCAGGCCAAGGGCGCGCTGTTGATTCTTGCGCTTCAGATCGTTTATGTTGACAACCAGACGCTTGCTCTTCTCGGCAATCATATCTTTGACATGGCCAGCATAGATGCCTTGGTCCTCCTCGTCGTCCAGAAAGTCCACATACTCACGCTGTATATCTTTGATGTATTGTTCCGCGTCGTGTGCCATTTTCAAACAATCTTTCAACAGCGAATAACAAGATAAACTCGCAAATGCAATTGCCTTCGCACGCCGAATGCAATTTTATTTTTGGCGGGAAACACGGACCCAAACGCAGGGCTGCAATTTAGGCGCCGATAACAATAACATTTTTTTGTCGATGATTCGATAGTTTTCATTGCCATAAAGTGATGAAAAAAAAAATGCTGTGTATAAATATATGCTGTTGCCTTATTTTGCAGTAGTCTATTTAACCAAAGATAATGTTTTACTGTAAAATGCTATTTAAATCATTTATTACTGCATTTCTTTCTTATGCAAATTTTTTGAATTAATTTGTTCCCGCTCAATACTGTGTAACATTGTTCAACACTGATTCCAGCCAATGGTACGCTTCCCGTTGGAGCTAGTTGCTCGATAGGCATTTCGAATGCACATTAGTTGTGTTTACATATTATTACTTTTCTAAAAAACTGGCAAATCGATTTGTTTAGAATAAATGCGTTAAGCTGCCTAAAACATGTATCTTCCAGTTGGCATACCGTGCAAAGATGGTCATTATCCCTGAGAAGATATATTTGCGGTCAATTGCAAGGCAAGAAGGTAACTACACTATTGTTCAAATATCTTTAAAACGTGCTGATCGATTTTTGCAAGATTGGTTAGGTGAAACTTTAGGCTTTAAACTTGTATATACGGTTTTCGGGACCATTTGCCCTGAATTAAGATATTTAAAGAATGGTGGAGACCAAATTTTACAACATCTTGGTTTACCCATATTATAAACTAAAAGTCAAAAACAAATGAATGTAGACCGTAAATTTTTAAATTTTCTTGCAATTCTACATTGAAGTTTATTTGTTGTTTTTGCTTTAAAACATAAATAACTGCATTGAAAAGTGAGCGGTTTCTTTTTCGATAACGAGTACCAAAAATCGACGCTAAGTCATCGCCGCTAATTTGACGCACATCAAGTATCGTTCTAACTAAATAGTGTATTGTACAATATCTATCGGCTCATTACCAACAAAGCGGTTGTATTATAAAGCAACGTACACGTATTTCAATACGTATAAATAAAAAATTATAAACTATTCTAAACGTTTAATCGGAGCGCGCACTTAACGATAGTTTGCTGGGTTTACAGCACTGCTGTTAGTAAGCGCAAATTGTCACACGCAGAGATATCGGCGCCATTTTATTTCTCGTTACTCGTTACTCGCTTCAAGATTATCCGCTACTCGTTGCACCTGGCACACACGCGTTTTCCAAATCGTGCTTTTTTTCGCCCTCAGTTTATTTTTTAGTGTGCGAATTCAACATTTAATTGGTTAAACAACAAATTCACATTATGTATGTGCTAAACAACTGTCAAATGAGTGAATGCTAGTGCTTTGTGCGCTAACAAATTGAATTGAATACGTGCGTGGTGTGTTTTTTTTCTTTCTTTTTTTTTTTTGTCGAATGCAAAGTACGACGGCGACCGCAACGCGACGTTGATGTCAGTTCGTGTGTGTGCATGTGTGTGTGTGTGTGCAATAAAAAAAACTACGAATTGCGAAAGAGCAAAAAGGCAAGAGACAAAAAAATAATTCTACGTTCAGCAATCAAACAGGCAGCTTGCGGGGAGAAGTGCTAAAACTGTAAAACGGACAAAAGCGGCGCGCGCGGCGTGCAATGCGCTAAAAAAAAAAAAAGACAACCAATAACAGCCATTCAGTGCAGGGGAGGGGTAAGTGTGTGCAAGCGGCTGCGTGGCTCAAATAGCGACTCATTCAATACATATCTACGCATATATATGTAATTTGAAAGTGTTAAATGAGTTGACTAAATAATTTATAAAGTGTAGGACAAAAAAAAAAAAAGGAAAAAAAAAAACGGAACTCGTTATAAATAGTTCAAGCAACAAAATAAAATGCTCGTCCGCTGCGCAAGGCCAACCATTTTTAGTGTTAAATAAAATCAGCGAAAAAGTCGGCGATCGTGGCGCCAAAGTGCAAACTGGTGTTGGTCCAGAAGCAGAAACAGCTAAATTTGAGAGCCAGCAGCGGCAGCAGCAGTAGAGAGCGCCGCGTGTGTTGGAATCTCGTCGTGACACACACACACACACATAAACAGACACGCATTTGACACACACACACACACACACACACACACACACACAGACTCACGCGTGGAATTGCAACAGTGTGGCCGTTTTCATTTTCATTTCTTCTCATTTTTTTTTTTTTTTTTTATATAGAGTTTGGCTTGCATGCGTGTGTGCATGTGTCCTGCACACAGTGTTGCATTTTGTGCGTGTACGGGGGGCCGGCTAAAATCCAATGATGTCCGCATTTGAGGATGGCCAACAGCAACAACAAAGACTACTACAACAGGAACAACAACAGCAACAACAAACACAAACTCCGCAGCCGCGCACGCCACTGAGACTCGCAAATGAGGCCGCCAACAACAGCAACAAGAACAACAACAACAACAGCAGCAGCAGCAGCAACAGCAGCAGCAGTAGCAGTAAAAACAACAATAATGTAAGTACAGCTGCAGATGTTATTGCATTGCCATGCCTAATCTGTATTCCTGCACCCAATTTAGTCCATCATGGGCAAAGTAAAGTTGCGGGTATCCAGCATACTTCCGGATTCACTAAGCAAATGGTTTTCACCAACTGCTGACCCAAATGCCGCCGGCGCCGCCGCAGTCGCTGGGGAAGAGTCGTCATCGTCAACATCGCCGCAGCTGCCGCTGTCGCAGCATAATGGCAGCGCTTTGACAACTACAATCAAACAGAAACACAGTCGTCGTCGCATACAGCTCGAGGCTGATGATGCGCCCGATATTGCCGTCGATGACGGCACCAATGCTCAGGATCTCAACGAAGAGGAGGTTCAGCTGGCCGATAACATAGCCGAACACGATCTGGCCGGCGAGGATGAGCAGACGCGTCGCAGCGAATATAATGTTAGTTTATTGCGCAAACGTCAACTGGTCGCCAACGAAGACGACGACGACGATGATGACGACGATGCCGAAGAGGAGGACGACGACGAAGCCGACGATGGTCCACAGCAACTCAACTATCGATCGCAGCAGCCAAATCGCAGCGTCAATTTCCGCAGCAGTGCGGCACAGCCGCTGCAAAAGCGCAAGCGTATAGAGGTAGGCACAGCCGATCATATGATCAGACTAATTTGCATTCGTAATTTGCATTTCGTAAAGCTGCCAAGCTTTCATGTCCAATTACCAAAAACATTTGGATCTTAGGAGAATAGAGCTATCTAGAAAAGTTTCCATATTTTTTTGTAATACACCATTTTGTATATTGTTAGATAATTGTTAAATGTTATGTTTGATTGAAACTAATCAATTGAAAATTATATTTCCTGCAGCCAATGGAAAGTACGTTTAGTCCTCAATTTAATGCACAGCGTCGACGCCCGCAGCTGCACGCCTCAACGCCAGCTGCTAGCGATGCGCTGCGCAGCCAAGCGCCACCGAATCGTTTCTCAACGCACTTGAACCTCTACGGACATCAGCGTCAGCGCGAGCCCGCCTACAATTTCATGTCCGCCGGCAACAACAGCAGCAGCGAGGCAGCTGTTGCCACCAGCGGGGATTTGCCAATGAGGTAAGTTTGTATTTTACATACATACATATATAGTTGAAATGTTGGGTTTGCATTTGAACCAATTTTTAAATTTCATTTAATCTTATCACATTTCTGATCTACTGAGCAGCTCGCGACGCTCATTGAATATTGCGCCAATGACTGAACGCCGTGAAATGGCGCTGCCCAGCTATAGGCGGCAATCGCTGTTGGGTCATCGCGGCCTAATGCCCAACTGGCGCAGCTATCAGACCATCAGCGAGGTGCCCAATGAGGAGCAGCAGCAGCAGCAGCAGCAGCAACAAACTATGCGCCAGGAGACAAACAACAACAACAACAACAATATAATACAGACTAAGCGCAGCGGCGGCACAGATTCCCAATCGGAGTGCGAGAGCAATGAGAGCCATGCGGCTGGCGGATCAGGCTTCGGTTGCGGACGCATGCACAACCTCAACAACAACAACAACATCAATAGCAATAGCAACCAATTATTTTATGGGAATTTGCAGAGCCGCAAATCGGTGTTCAATACGAATGTAAATGCAACATCGCTGCTGCAACACCACAATTCGACACTATCGCTAAATTCGCTAAATCATCGCCGTCGCTTTAACGCCTCCATATATGGCAGCACATCGGCGTTGAGCGATAGTCGTCTGTTGAGCAGCAGCATGTCGGGCAATTCACCATTTTATCAGGGACCCACCGCATTTGGCGGCAGTTCGGCAAACAATCGTTATTTTAGTCAAGGCAATTTGCCGATCAATTCGGGCAGCAGCTCGCCGGCGCCATCGAATAGCGATAGCGTTTGCAGCAACAGTAATCCTGCTCGCCCAAATATCTGTCACAGCAGCTACGGCATGAAGCCCATCGAGATGCGACCACGTGGGAATCTGTGCACCGGCGCTGGTGATGGTAGCGCCAATGTGCCTGGCTTATCGCTGACAGCGCAGCGTATACTCAATCTATTGGAGAATCATACAACGCCGCTTATGGATGCCAAGAAAATGGGTAGCACATTGCGTGAACATCAATTGCAGCGCAGCTCAAGACACCTGACCGCCGGCTCCAAGCCATATTCCTATCCCAATCATACTTTGGCATTTGGCTATAATAACACCGCCGGCGGCAGCAATAACAATCGGAATAGCGATCCGGATAATAGCTCTAAATTGCTGGTGCCCACCATGTTGCAGCTGCTCGAACGTCGACGTTTGCATCGTGTGGCGCCCAGCACACGTGCCCTAGTTGATGCCAAACAATTGGAGGAGCAACAGATGTTACATCAACAGCATCAACAGGCTGCCAGTTTGGCAGCTAACTCCAATACGACGGTCACGGTCACGCCCACGGGCAGCCAGACTCATACGAATAAGATGCGTTCACGTTTATCCCATCAGTTGCGCAAGGATGCGCGCATTGTGGATGAACAACAGTTGCCGCCAGCGCCTCTCGATTTGCCCAATATACGTTTTCCGGTGATGGCCAGCGAGCCGACATTTGATTTGGTTATTGCGCCGCCGCCGCCGATGTCAACTGCAGCAACAACTGCCGAGCAGCAGCAGCAGCTGCCCAAGCTGAACAACAACAACAAAACAAACAATAACACCAACAACAACAACAACAACAACAACAACAACAGCAGCAGCATGCGCCGACGCGGCCATTCAAGCACACGTTATCAGTTTGCAAACCCGCAGCCACTCAATTGTGCCGATCCTGCCGGAACAACAGCGACGCCACAGAAACGAATGAAGCATAATTTTATATTTGATCCGCCCATTCCATTGGATGAGTCGACCAAGTGTTTGCCCAACTCGTTGCAGTTCAATGGTGCCACATGCAACAGCAACCTGAAGAGCACCGGCAGCGTGATTGATATACTGCTGCCGCCCAAGCGCACAGATGCTCCAGCATCACCAGCAGCAGCAGCTCCAGCATCAGCTCCCTTAACAACGGTTGGATTTGGTGATCAGTTTAAGAAATCCGCCAGTGAATGGGAGTGCGAAGCGTGCATGTTGCGCAACAAGCAGGAGCTGAACAAATGCGTCGCCTGCGAGACGCCCAAGCCAAAACCTAAAGGTGCCGCCAATACTGCTGCCTCAGGCCCAACGGCGCCGGCCATCAACTATCCAGCTGAAGACGAGACGGCGCGCCTTAAAACCACAAGCCTTGGCACACAGGTGTGCATGTCCAGCATTGCCCAAAATAGCGGCAGCAACAGCAGCAGCTTTGGCAGCAGCAACAGCAACAGTTTTCCTAGCGGTTTTGGTGATGCGTTCAAGCCCCCGGCAAATATGTGGGAATGCGGCTGTTGTATGATCATGAACCCGGCCAGCCTTAATGAATGCCTCGCCTGCCAGTCTCCCAATCCCAAGAGCAGCAACAGCAACAGCAATAGCAATAGCAGTACCAACAACAACAACAGCAACAACAGCAACAGCAACAACAGCTTTAAATTTGGTTTTGACAGCACAGCTGTTGTGCAGCCTAAGGCGGATGCCGGCTTCCAGCAGCTGATCGCGGCACAAAAGTCGAGCAGCTGGAATTGTGAGGCGTGCATGGCACAGAATGATATCAGCCGCAACAAATGCATATGCTGTGAGCAACTGAAGCCCGGCGCCACCGTCGAGGAGGCTTCAACCACTGCGGCTGTGCCCAAGTTTATGTTTGGCTTTCCAGCCAAGGCCGCTACAACAGCAACAACAGAAGCAGGAGCAACAACAACAGCGGCAACAGCAACTGTTGCTCCAGTCACGCAGTTTAAATTTGGTTTTGCGCCCGCTGCAGCAGTAGATGCTGGCAAGGATGTGGCCGATAGCAACAAAGCTCTTACAACAACAACAACAACAACAACAGCAGCAGCAGCAGGCACGTCAACATTCAGTAATTCAACAACAACAACAACAGCAACAGCAACGACAAATGTCTTCAAAATTGGCACGGCAACAGCTGCCAGAACGGTGGACTTCAAACTTGGCGACAATGCAGCACAGCAGCAACAGTTGTCGTTGGCAGCGGACAAACCTGCGCCGGCTAGCAGCAGCATGGCGCCGGCAACATCTAGCACCGGCCAAGGCTTGTTTGCAACAACAGTGACACCAGCAACAGCAGCAACAACATTTGCATTTGGCGCCAACACAGCAGCAGCAGCAACGACAACAGCAACAACGACAACAACAGCTGCTGCCGCAGCAAAGCCCGTGGAGAGCAAATTATTTAACTTTGGCAGCTTTTCGCCCAACACAGTCGTGTCCAGCAGCACCAGCACCAACACCACCAGCAGCAGCAGCAGCAGTGGCGGCAGCAGCATCAGCTTCAAGCCACCAGCAAATTTATTCAATTTCGGCGGCGGCAGCAGCAACAACAACGTTAGCAGCAGCAGCAGCAGCACGCTGCCAGCAGCAACGGGGACAAAAACAACAGCTTCGTTTCTATATAGCCCACAGACTGCAAGTGCAACAACTAGCTTTGCGCCAGCTGCCACAGCAACAACGTTTGTCTTTGGCAGCCAATCAGCTATATCAACAACAGCAGCAGCAGCGGCAGCTAAAACTGCCGTCAGCAGCAGCAGCAGCAACAGCAACAATTTCTTCTTTGGCGCGCCAGCAACATCAACAACAGCAGCTAGCACCAATGCCAGCAATGCCGGCATCTTCGGCTCCTCCATCACAACACCCAAAAGCAGCATCATCAGCAGCAGCAGCAGCAGCGGCTTCCAAGCGCCGGCCAGCAGCAACACAGCGCTGTTCACCTTTGGCAGCGGCAGCAACATCAATGCTAGCGGCAACAGCAGCTTTACCAGCCCATCATTTGGCTTTGGACCGAAGCCCACACCATCAACACTTGGCGATCTTGCAACGAGCAGCAGCAGCAGCAGCAGCAACAACAACATAGGCAGCAACACATCAACAACAACACTGACCAACTTTGGTTGGCCGACAGCAGCAGTAACAGCAACAACATCAAAAGCAACAACTTCATTTGCAACAACAGCAGCAGCAACTCCTTTTGCCAATAATCCTGCAACAAGCGTTGCAACATCATCCACAACTTTGCCCATTTTTGGCAGCAACAGCAGTCAGGGCTCCAACCTGTTCGGCAGCAGCAACACGGCAACAAAAACAACAAATGCAATGCAGCCGCTGGCGGTCAGCTCGCCATTTGGCATGGCGACAACAACAACATCAGCAGCAACAGCAGCAGCTGCCACCGTACAGCCCAATACCGGCGGCAATGGCACAATCTCTGCGCTCTTTGGCAATGTGAATAGTCCGTTTGGCACAAATGCAGGGCCCGGTGCCGGCGGCGTCGCCTCGCCGCTGACAAACATATTCAATAGCAGCAGCAGCAACAACAACAAGGGAACACCAACAACAACAACAGCAGCAGCAGCAACAACTGTTGCAGCAGCAACACCTAAACCGGCATTTAATTTTGTCAGCGCCAACGCACCAATAGCTGCGGTAAGTGTTGTTTAACAAAGCATTTTGAACATTTCCATATTAACAACATAAAATCTGTGTACACAGCCCGCCGGCGGCGTCTTTAACTTTGGCGCAACGCCCACGAATGCCGCTGCCAGTGGCAACAGCAGCAGCACCAGCGGCGGCGGCGGCGGCGGCGGCAACAGCAGCGCGTTGCCAAAGCCAGCCTTCAATTTCACGGCAACCGCACCACAGACGACGGCATTTAATTTCTCGGCTAACTCAACAACAGCTGGCGGCAATGCGGGCAACAGCGACGTAAGTTTAACACTAGGCTTAGCATCTTTTGCAGCCAGGCAACACTCGTAGTTAAATAACTGGTTTCAAGGAAACGTACATTTAAAAAAAAAAAAAAAAGATAAATTGCAATTATTGTTGTTGCTGTTAGCGGCTGTTTTTTTTTTTTTTAATTTTATTTTTACTGTGCATGCATTTTCGGCAGTGTTGTTAATTGTCGTTAACTGTGTGTGTTTGATTGTGTTTGTTATCGTTTATCGATGACACATGCATACATATTATTAGCAAAAAAAAAAAAAAAAACAAAAAGATATTATTTTCGTTTTGTACTTATACTTTTTCTTGTCTTTATTTTTTATTTCTCTACTTCCATTGCTCTGTACTGTTGGAAAAAAAAAAAAAACCAAAAACAATATATATATATATTCCATTGTAATACACCCAAAACAAAAAAAAAAAAAAAACTATCCCTTTGGGCACGGGCACGACTATGCGATAACTACCTCCTACTCCTACTACTCATATTACTTCTACCGATAATTAAAACAACTGCTGTGCTGCTGCCAACTACTACTACTATCAAATACTGCTACTACTATCGACTACCAACACTACCAAAATATACTACTATCACCTACCTACCAACACCATCTATCACACCTGACACCTGACACCTGACACCTGACACCTACTACTACTGCTATTTAAAATGGTGTGGCCAATGAAGTTATTTCCAAGAACGGAACGACTTTTCCAATTTGGGGCCACTGCGCCGTCAACTGATGCTGGTGGCACATCATCAACCATGATGCCAGCAGCAAATCAATTGTTCAATTTTACCGCCTCAGCGCAGCAAATGCAGGTAAACTTTAAATGGACAGTACCTCGATTTAGATTTGTATATATGTATGTCTAACTCTATATATAAATACTTAGTTTAGATGTAATTTTATATATTTGTTATTAATAGTAGTTGTTAGTTTGGCATTTGCGTATCGTTCATTTCCTATAATATCACATTATTTTTCACATTATCACTCGAGCATGCTTTAATGTCCACAGTGCTTGTCAAACTGCACATTAATCAAATATAATTCTAAGCGAATATATCAATAGAAATATGTATATGTATATATATAAAAATATAGTTGTTTGTATTGCACAGTTTTGCATGCTCGGCCGCGAAATGTTTGACAAGCACTGACAATAAAGCTTTACAATTAAGTAGAAAACAACATTCACTCACCTACTACCCCCTCCCCTCCCCCCACCTTTCCTTTCCCCACACAAACACATACCTCATGCACACATTATACATGATCACATTTGCAATTATTCCATTCTTAAGCTTTATTTACTTTAGCCCAATCATAGCACATAATTTTTACATCATTTTACATACATTTTACATATGCATACCGAAATACACAAAGAAAATTGCCAAAATAAAAAAAAAAAAAAAAAAGTGTTGGAAAATCAACAAAAGTTTTGCAAAATGTTGAAAGCTGGCAAATTTTCTTAACATTTTCATTTGCGTTCACAAAATTAGTAAAACACACAAAGAAAACATTCGAATTGTTCAAATTACAACACTTTTAAAAACAAAAACCCAAAAATATCTTTTCCAGTCAACGCCAAACGCCGCTCCGTTCCAATTTAATGCCGGTGCGCCTGCGCCAGCCAATATATTCGCGTAAGTAGTGTGACAGAGACGGCAATATAGCCGTGTACGCTTGCTACAGATCAGAGTGAGCAGAGAATGTGTGCAAGAAGGAAAGAGAGTGTTTTTGTTTAATTTGGCCTAATGTTAAATTGAAACAGGCACACACACACACACAACACCCAAACACACACACACAACACCCAAACACACACACACACACACAAAGAAAAAAAAAACAAACTTACAAAAATAATAACAAAAATGCATCATTAACCCGTTACAAGTTTGGCATTGCATACGTTTTATTTATAAGGCACTTTTATGTTGAAACATATTCTTGTTGAATGCACATTCTACATTTGTACGTGTCATTGTGCCATATGTGTTTCTCATCTTAAATACCTCTGTGTGTGTGTGTTTGTGTGTTTATTATCTTAGTGTGCGTGTGCGTGTGCGTGTGAGTGTGAGTAGCATAAGCTCTCGTTTACTCGATTGACTGTGCTATGAATGTACTCTCTTTCTCTCTCTCTCTCTCTCTCTCTCTCTCACTGACTTGGTGTTTTCAGGCGAGCTTGTTCGCTGCACCAGAAACACCCTGTACTTATCGCTAATCATCAACATATCCTCCTAAAACATTCACAGTTTCAATCCACCAAACGCTGGCAGCCCAATGCAGAATCCACGCCGCAAGATACGCGGACCGACGCGTCGCCTGCCGCCGCGGTAGAAATGGAAAGTGGCGCCGCCGCTGCCGCCGCCGCCGCCGCTGCCGCCAACAATGACAGAACCGAACAACAATGGACAACACTGGGACACGGACTGGGACGTGGATGCGAATTGGGGGCGGCGGAGCAGCAGCAGCTGAGGCACAACGACAGCCAAACAACGACGACAATTCGTGACAGCGGGCAGCTACAGCAGCAGCAGAAGCAGCAGCAGCAGCAACAGCAGCAGTGGGAAGGAGAAAATGAAACACACAGGACGGCGACGAGGACAAGGACGACACTGAGCTGCCCCTCCGAACAGCAAACACCAACGGCGACGGCCATGTTACAGCGCCGCAGCAGTCGGCTGCACGAACGCCATCAGCAAATACAGAATGAACTGCAACAATTGCAGCAGCAGCAACAGCAGCAGCGACGTCGACGCCAGCAGCAACAGAAGCAACAAAAACAACGGCTCAACAAATATCGTTTTGTGCGCAGTCCGTTAACAGCCGCAGCCGCAGCAGCAGCAACAGCAACAACAACAGCGGCAGCATTGGCGGCTAGAGTTGCCAGACAGTACAAATTTAGCTTGCTAAGCAAAAGGCAAACGCGCAAAAGCAACGCCAATTCCAGCGCCAGCAACAACAGCAACGAACTGGAAGCCTGTAGCGCTGCCAGCATCGACAGCAGCCACAGCGACACAGTCACAGCCGCTGCCGCTGCCGCTGCCGCTGCTGCGTCACACATGCTGCGCAGTCGCTATAAGCTGGTGCGACGGCGCAGCGCTGCCGACTGAAAAGCACGAGCGGCGTACGAAAGCACATCGAGAGTTAACTGAACGGGCTGGAAGGACGCTAGCGCGTGACGCAACAGACTGGAACAGTGCAACACAACAACAACAACAACAACAACAAAAACAACAAGAACAATAACTACTAAACGGATTGACGGAAAACAACTTTTTGGAAATCAACATTATATAATATATATACATATATAAGTTTTGTTTTCATATGCGCGCGCTCTGGGAAAACAGCTGGAAGTGAAGGAAACTGAATAAGAAGCAGACGCAGCAGAAGCAGATGCAGCAGCAGTAGCAGCAAATCAGATTGCGCGCAAGTCTTATAAATTTTAGTTATCTAGTTTCATTTATTATTATTATATTATTATTATTATTATTTTTTTTTTCTTAAATTAACTTAAATTAATTTTTGTTGATTTGTCAAATTTTAGGACCCAAATTATACATATATATTATATATAATAAATACCTATATAAAGCCAGTCGGGGAAACATTGATACGTACACGCCATGGAGAGATTGTACACGCAGCAGCCGTTAATTTCAAACACCAATTGCAACACTAATGAGAAAACAAAACAACAACAACAACAACAACAACAAAAACAACAATAACAAGAAGAAGAAGTAAAACATTTGTAAATTTGAACTGTATTTTTTCATTTTCTATGATGAACTTTAGCGCTTTTATAAATATAAACAAACAAACAAAAAAAAATATTATACATATATATTTATAAAACTTTAAACGATAATTATTTAATAATTATGTTGTGTGAAATTGTAAAGAACATGTTCAAGAGACGCAAAACAAAAACAATAAGAAAAATAGCGCAAAAAACAAAACAAAGAAAACAAAGTATATACACATTACATATTAAATGGAATCATTTGTTTAGACAATTTTTAAAGTGCAACTCGCCCGACAACTTTTTGGTTGGCGCTGCGTAACGGTTATCTAGAGAAGAAAGCAACTATTTAAAAGAAACGAAAAAAAAAAAAAAAAAAAAACAAAGAGAAACTCATTACGTATATGTATGTCATTGTTTATGTTATTATTCAGTTAAGATTCGATTCGTACTTCCGTTTCCGTCTCTCAGAAAGCAGTTATCGCCGCGAGCCTAGCAGGAATAACAGCAAACAAGATCGGCAGTTATATATATATATATATATATATATACAAATATATAGCTAAGAAACGACGCAGCAACAACTACGATTATATTGTGTGCGTGTTTTTTATAAACAAATAACATAAGTTGAACAAGAAAAAACTGGAACCCGAAGTCTTAGTGTTTAAGCGACTCGAAAAGAAAGTAAATAAACAGTTGACAAATTGAAATCATAATGTAAATAAGTAAATATTAATGATATGATAATTAAAAACGTGTGACAAACATATAAAGTCAACTCTTTGAATTTTCTAACAAACTCTAATGTCATTGGCGCGCACATTCAATTCGAATTCCAACGGACTGTCGACAATTAACAGTGTTGGCTAAGTTGTGCGGGCATCGTTTTAAAGATGCAGAGTGCTGAGAGAGAGAGAGAGAGCAATTATTCAACATAACGGTTAAATTCTAACAGACTGTTGGCAGTTGAACTTTGCCGGACAGTGCTGCCAATGCATATACAGCTAGCGATGTGCAAACGCGTTCGATTGGCATCGACTACTCATTTATTGAGCCTTTACACATCTTATTATCTTTCATTCGAAGAAATCGAGACCCTATCCCTTAATTTTACATTTATAACGGGTTTTGGTATATTTGTGTGTTATATTTGTCTTTTTCAATCGTCATGATGTTGATTTTCCAAATTGTGTACTTCAATTTATTTGTTTTTATTTACTTTTCTTACATTTTTAAAAGTGCATAGGAAACAGTGTTAAACAATTCACAAAATCATTATTCATCGATATATTCACTCTTAACTATCAAATAAAATTATCGCATATTCGCGACTTCAATATCGATAGATATCGCTGCGATATCAACATCCCCAGTTAACAGAAAAACGCACGACAAACATAAATTCGTGGAAATTACGCACGGGTGTTTTTTCGTAGCTCAATAGTAATATTTGTTTATTTTTTTCGGTTCTAAATTAAATGAAAGCACACATGCATATGCAAATGATATAGTGTAATTTGTGTATTAATTAAAGGCAATTGCAAATGTTAGATTTTAAGATGGATATCAAATGCAATCAGCGCAGCAGCAAAAGCAGAAGCAGCGGCAATAGCAACAACGGCAACAACAACAACAACAAGAAAAAGGCTGACTGACTACACCCAAAAACGCAACAAGAAAAAGGCAGCATATAAAGGAAACAGTTGGAGGCGAGGAATAACAAAACGACAGGAAAAATGAAGTAAAAGCGACAACAGCGAACGAAACGGCACTTCAGTTGCAGTTGTAGTGGAGTACATACGCACGGTCACACACACCAGCAGGCACATACACACGTACATACATACAAATACTAACAAAAGCAGCACACAAAGAGACATTTGCATGCATATGTGTGGGTGTATCAGCAGCAGCAGCAGCCCAGCTCCAGCGTACAAACTTCGGGTTCATTCGGCAGTCGTCGTTCGTCGTTGCTCGCTCGCTCGCTCGCTCGCTCGTTTGTTCGTTCGTTCGTTTTGTTCGCACGCTCGGTTTATCGTGTTGGAGTAACAGCATTCGCCTACGCAGCAGCAGCAGCAGCAGCAGCCGCCGCAGCAGCAGCAACGACAGGCAAAGGAAGCGGTTTAAGAATGCATGGGCATGCACAAAGTACGAAGCACGAAACACGAGAAATGCGAGAAACACAAGAGAAATGCAAATTTAACAGAAATTGAAATAAGTGCAACGGGTTTCCAATTCCACAGCGCATTGTAATTCAAAACGCAGTCGCAAATTTATGCCAAACTGATCAAAAGCGGGTGCGCGCGCGATAGAAAGAGGGAGCGCGAAGAGTTTTCGTGCAGAGTGAGAGACATAGGCCCTGAAGAGAAACCAGCGAGAGAGAGAGAGAGAGAGCGAGAGATCAAGCGCCGTTAAATCGGATCACGTCCATTTTAGCCACAGCCGCAGTTCCTTTGTTATATACCCAATTGCTGCTCCTGCCTCCTGCTTGGGACGTCGACGTCGTAATATGGATTGTGGTGCTTTTGCCGCGCAGCAGCAGCAACTATTACAACAACATCAGCAGCAACAGCTACAACAGCAACAACAACAACATCTGCAGCAGCACCCACGACAACAAAATACGCTAAATTGCCTGGAAGCAACAGCAACAACAAATGTAAGTTTACACACGCACACGTACATATACATACATATATATATGTATATATATATACGTATATATGCATATGTGTTCGCTTGCATGTATGTATTTCTCTTTTACTTCCACTTCACATTCGCCCCCACACACAAACCGATGCGCTGCGTTATGCTGTCTGCGTCGCAGCTGAAGTCAACGCCGCAGTCAGCTGCATTAGCTCTTCTTACAGTTTATTGGTTTTCTTATTAGATATTTTTCATATGAGTAACTTTGGCTGCGACGCTAGCAGCGCAGTCGCTGCTGCAGCAATTGTCTTTGGCTGCGTGTGGGCTGACAGGGGGCGTGGCTGCTATGGCCATGTGCATAAATAATTTAAGATTTTCATTGAATGTGGATGTGTGTGTGTGTGTGTGTGTGTGTGTGTGAAGGGGTGGGCAGCTTGTACTCTTGTGAAGGCAGGTACAAAGTGCATGCAGCATTATTTTCTGTCTTGGCCAAGTTCGCGAAACACAAAAACGAGGCAACTGGGAAAACGAATGACTCAAAGACTATTTAACCAACTGATGATTAATCTCTGCATAGCTACAGCTGCCGCTGCGGCTAAAGAAAAAAGGCAATGAAAAACACGTAAAAGCAAACTTGTGGCTGAAAGTCGACTGCTAAATACCCTGTATTCGAATTAAATCAGTTTTAGACTTAACTGACGGAAATTTTCAAATTACAATCGTGTTAAAAACCAGTTTTAATTCCAATTTGATTAAAACGAATTCTCTGACTAGAAAATAGTTGCATCTTATGGTGATTAACAACTTAACTAGGCAATTATGTAGGGTGTCTAAAGTTCATCGATACCCCATATAGGATATATGTGTAACTCACAACAGAGTCGAGCAGTACCGAAGCTTTAATTGCCGATTTGTACATGGTACAAACTTTTGCCCATTACTTTCACCGTGCATAAATTCTAAAGCAAAGAAGTTCAAAATAAAAACAACAATGCACAAGAGAAGTTCAAAATACAATTGCTTGTACAAAGGCCATAACAAAAAGAGAAAGAATGAAAGAAAAGAACATACAAAGCCAAAAGCCGTCGGCGTTGACGTATGTTCGGCACAACAACAACAGCAACAGCAGATAGAAGAAGCAGAAGGAGCCGCAGATCAACAACGCACTCTGTTGCTTTTGCGTTTCTTTGTTTTTGCCGCAGCGGTTAAATCTTACTTTTGCCTTTCCAACCCCCCGCTAGTCACCTTTTTTACACGCCAGTTGTGTTTTGCAGAGCTACGTGACTGCAATAAAATTTAACTGCAATTACGTGTCGCATGCTTTGTGTGCCGAAAATGGCCAAAAGAAAGGCCAAAAGAAATGTCCAAGAGGCGAACGAGTGACATTGAATGCCTCAAGGATACGCACAGGATGCGATAACAGAGCGCACAGTTGTGGCTAACGGCACATTTCAGCAGCAGGTCCTGTTTTGTGTGTTGGGTTTTTGCGTGTGTAATTGCCAGTGCTGCCAGTCGGCTTCAATTGTTTTTGCCAATGGGCAGCACCTTTGCCGTTGCTAACGCATTAGAAGGTTGTGCGGAGAGAGCGCGACATTTGGTTAATTTAAGTTTATAGATATCGAAAGTTAACTCAAATATGTTTTTTTTTTTTTATAGCTTTCGATTGCTGCTTCAGTTTCTTTATTAATTCTCTCTCAATAATTTACACCTTTTATCATCATGAATGGCTTGTAAATCGGCACTGTGGTACGACCCACAGCAAAAATAGAATGAATATAAATATTATATTCGCTACAAATTAAATTCTTTTGATAGATCTGCGAAGTTTTTCAAGTTTTGTGTTGCTGAAATAATAATATTCATTTATTATAATATGCTGAAAATAATAATAAATGTTTATGTTCCCATTACAAATACAGGCTCTCATATATAAGAGTTCTAACGTCTCGATGAGACCACTGTATTTATATGTATAAAGCCCCATTTTTATCATATAAAATGAATATATCAACTTATAATTATTGTGCAGATGTGTAGCTAATTAATATTTTACAAAAGCAGTCAAGAAAACGTGTGACGTCACACGCGTTGCCACAAATTTTGTTCGCTGTACGCCATGCGTTACCTTCGACGCTGTCGCCATGCGTAAGAGAGTGAGAGAGCGAGCGAGCCGTTGAGCGGGCGAGTGAGCGGAGGTTTATAGTGAGCGCGTCGTCGCCGTTGCTCGCATTTATCTTTCGACCGATGCGCGCACGAGACGGGCGACAGCAGCGCTGCGGATAGACGAAAACGGACAGCGAAAAAAAAAATAACAAATTGTAAATTGTAACGAGCGCGCGCTCGACAATTAAAGGCGACAATTCAGTAAAAGTTAATTTTTTTTATATATTTAATTTATCGGTCCTTGTTTTTTTTTTTTTATTGTGAAATACCTATTTTGCTGTCGCTTCGTGCTCGTTGTTTTTGTTATTTTTTTTTGTGTATGTTTGTGTTCGGGGTTTATTAAGTTCCTTGTGCTGCAGTAACAACAACAACAACAACAAAAACAACAATAGCAAAAGCAATTAGCTCCAGCTGCTTTTGTTTATACAGCACAACTACAAACGCGAGTGTGAAACGCGGCAAACGAAGCAATAATTAAAAGTGCCTTTTTTAATTGAAGAGCAGAATACAAACAACTACAACAACAACAACAACTACAGCAACAACAACAACAACAACAGCGGCGCGCGGTTGGCAATCGAAATCGAATTGACGTTAACATTGACGCGGTAAGAGCAACTCTCACACACACACAGAACACAAATACACTCATCCATTTATTCCTGCATACAACCCTGTTTACTTGCCTGCAAAAGCTCAAGTTAAGCAAAGGGGGAGAAAGAAACAGAGAGAGCGAGCCCAGCAGAGAGTTGTTTGTTTTTGTTTTTGTTTTCTGTTATTTCTTTTTGGCAGTTAATGTGTTTCGCTTTTGTCTTGTATGCGTGTGTGCGTGCGTGTGCGCGGGGGCGGTTGCACATCGACTTTAGTTGATTTGCTTTTATGTTCCAATCAATGCGATGCGGCGGGAAATATTGTGGGCAAATGATAGGGAGCATTAGTAGGGGGTTTGCTCGGCCATATGCCTTATGGTTTTATTATTGTTTACTTCGTTTCATTTTGTGCCTTATCTTCATCGCCGCACTCTTTACTACAAACCGCAGACTCCCACACACACACACACACGTGCTTTGTGCGCGCGTGTGTGTGCGTGTTTGTGTGTAGTTTCATTCAACTTTTCTGCATGCGGCAGCGAAATTTGTTCGTGTTCGGATATGGCAACGCCGCCTCGTCTGGCCTCTTGTTTTTGCCGGTTTCTTTATACTAAATTTTGTTTTTAATTTATTTTCTGCAAAGTCATATGGTCTTGGTATGCGCGTCATCCTTCCACCCGCATTCGCAGCTCCTGCAGCAGCACCCGCATAACTTACACACACACACACACAAGCTCTCTCTCTTCATCTCTCTCTCTCGCGATTGTTGTTGTTATTGGTGGTGTGGCCGTTTAATTGCTTCTGCACGTTCGTCAAATATTTGCTCAACTCTTTTTAATTACATTGCCCACTACACACACACACACACACACACACACATGCACACAGAGATTCAGGCGTTTACCGTTTTACCCTTTCAAGCGATTTAGAAGTAAACGTGCAAGTGTGAGTAGCGGAATGTGAAGTACACATCACAGAGCACAGTGTGACATTTTGTTATGGATTGCAGTGTAAATCATAAATCTTCAAGAAATACGTCAATTTAGTTGTAAAATGTCGATTATATTAAGATTTCTGTTTGCCAATTTACTTTAAAGTCGTTGTTTTTATTACATTTTCTGGTAGAAAAGTTCTATAAAAAGAACTGAAATTCAACACAATGGATCTAAACATTCATATTTGGGGGAAGAAAGAATTCAGAATAATAAATAACAATTAACAAAAGAAAAAAAAACTCCACTTGAACTCTAACTCAATTTGTGTATTGTGTCTATGTTGTACATTTTCGGAAGATTTTTATTGTGATGCACTATTAATTTTCCACGCCTCTTCCATGGCAGCATACACAACTGTATATACATACATACATACATACACATAAATTTCCATATATATGTAAATATAGCCTTGTGGCGAAGTTAATTCATACTGTTTGCCCTGAACCGAAATGAACACATTTTCCATAATATTTTTAGACTTATGTATAATGAAATGCACTGTTTCTGATTCTGTGCGTAGACAAGGCAAACATACATTTGTTCAATTCGATGTGCGTTTGAAATCATAATTTGTCTCGCACTCATATCAAATACATACATGTGCTTAAGTGTTGCAACATTTTACTTCCCATTTTTTAAGTAGTTCGTTTCATAAGCTTTTCGGCATGAAATCGGACAAGACCAGCACCAATTGGTTCGCCCCCACAAGGCTATGCCTTGGCCCACTGTGCGGCGGAGATTGCCAAAGCCAGAAGTGAATTCGCTCAGTTGAGCGCATTTTAAATTGCCGGGCAATACGCGCAGCAGCCGCAGCCGCAGTCACAGTCGCAGTCGCAGTCGCGTCGCGGTCCCTGTCGACGCAGCAACAGCACCCATATGACTTTTGCACATGGCTGCGCTGCGACGTCGGGATGCCGTTGCGTGTTGCTGTTGTTGTTGTTTTTAGTGCTTTACTTTGTTCATCATTCTTATTACACGCTTTGCTGCTTATGCCAGACTTTGCTTTGCCATGCCATGCTTTACTTTGCCGGCAGCGACGCTGGCTGCGCTCATCTTTAAAATATGTACATATGTATGTATGTATGTATATGTATTTATGCGGCCACGGCGGACGCGACATCTCTGTTGCTGTTCATTTTAATTTTTGTTTCTGTTGCTGCCGCTGCCGTTTACGCTGTTGTTGTAAATATTTTATTATCGCTTGTTTCCGTTTAGTAACCAAAATGGGGAAATGTGTGCGCGCACGCACACATGCATGCATA